ATGCCCTGCTATCGCCGTGAGCGCACGCCATTTTGACCGCTGATCCGCGCGCGGGGCCGAGCTGAGGCCAGGGCCGTTGTTGCCATGGTTGCGTGGCAATCGCCCTGCCCAGCGATTCACCTACCATGAGTCCATGTCGCCGCTCGCCGCATCTGGGTCAGTCGACCATAGCTTTAGGGTGACGGTGACGCCTCCCTGTTTCATCCTGTCCCGCTAGCCGACGCCGGTGAGCCGCTTGGGCCCGGCTACCGCATTCAAGTGCTTCGCGCGCCGGCACGTCTCTTGGCTCCGTCTAGAACTACCCAACGCGCCTCCTGCTATCGCTCGTGCGGCCATGTCCTCGTGTTGTCGTACCCTGTCGGGTCATGGCCGGGTCAACTCTGATGGGGCCGTGTCACGTGATGTAGCAGGGGTGACGCGCCGTCATCTTCCCTTCATAATCACCAACTCAAAGCTTCCCAGCTCAATTCCTCGCGTTAGTGAGAAGCAGAGGAAGTTAGCTAGACGGCCCACTCTCGTCGGGTCTAGTGGTGGTCTGGCCGCGGCCAATTTTGGATTTTTGCTCGCTGTCGGTCATGCGCGTCGTCGAGCCGGTAGGTTTGGGGTAAGGCCTGTAGGGTAAATAGAAGCTCAATTGCTCGTAACCCCGAACTCGCCTTGACTCCCTCCATCCGGTGCTCGCGCTATTTTGGTCAGGGAACTCGTCGGCGATGTGGTGACGCATGGGTGTCCATCCCGGAGCACCGTCGCCCCAGCGGCTCGCACGTGGCCAGGCCACCTCAACACTCCTCCGCCTCAACAGTCATCGCAGCATGAATTTCGATGAGCTACTGGTGCTTACCCGCTATCCCTACCACCCAATAGAACCTTAGGTCACCGAAACAGTCACGCCGCTGCCATGGATAGCCGCTCGCCGCTGCTGACCACGACAGTGCGCCTTCGAGTCCTTAACTGTCACCCATCCTTGCACGTTTAGCTGTAGATGGTGGTCAGCCCCTTACCTCGTGGGAATAGTGCGGGGTTTACAGGGATCTCCCTGTGGTAAAGGCGAAAACATCCGAGGATTTGGTTGTAAAGTTACTAACGGTAGGAATAGTGCGCATAGTACTGGGCCGCCGTGACGCGCTTGGTTGTCGGGCCAGAAGGAGTTACTGCCGGCCCTTTCCTTTTTCTAATGTATTTTTTAATTTAGTTTCTAAGGCAAACTTGTAAATGCAAAATAAATTTGTGTAGTTGATCAAAAATTATGAAACTAATTTTGTTAAGTTCCTAAAATTATGATCTATCTACTAGTATATTTTATTTACATAGGTTTATAATATTTTCGGGAGTTATCTAATTAATTTGAGAAGCTTAATATTGTAAGATATAAATTTGTAGTAATTTTTATGTTAAATTGGTGATAGTGTTGGCTCTGAAACCTTTACAGTAAATTTCTCTCATTATTAGGTGCTCACTGTAATTTTTGTAGCTCCGTAATAACTAGTTTGATAAGGTAGATAAATGAGCCCTAGATCAAAAATATATGTTTAATCAATAAAATATCGAAGCACCTTGGGATTTTAAAACTAAAACATTTTTTCTGAGGCGAAGTCTTGCTTGACGATGTGGATACGTAGACCAGTACGTTAGTCATTAAAGCTAGCTCATTAGCTTGCGGAGCGTAATCATATATTTAAGAGTTGCGGTTACCGTTGATTAATTGCGTCTCTGCGTTGCATCCAGTATATCATAATAGGAACAACGATGAATCAGGGAGTCGACTGAAGTAGCAGAAAAGATGGTGCTTTGATGATCATGTCACCATGATGGAATGCTAACTCTTGGTTATATCTTACCTAGGCAAGCCCCGGTGCATAACCCCTATTATTCTGCACTTTTATTGTTATGCTTGTATATTAAGTTTTAATGAGTTGAATAAAACCACTTGCATATATATATATATATATATATATATATCCTTATCCTATGAGTCCTACTATTATATCAGGACCTTGTAGATTGCTATGCTATAGGATCCGGTAGAAGTCGAGTGATTACATGTCACTCGCGAGAGATAGAAAAGATATTATTGTTGTTATTATATTACTGTCACATGGAATATATATGAATGATAATTGGAGACTGGACGGAATGGTACTTTGGATCTAGACTTGGTTAGGCATTCGAGCGAGGCTCAGATTGCTCTTGTTCCGCCTGCATCAATTGAGGACCGTTCGTTGCTGTAGATGGTAGTCATGTCACAGACTTATTATCCTGAGCACATACTTGCTTATGGGAGTGGGAAGACTCGTTACGCTCTTGTCATGGGTTCTGGTTCTTTTCGGATCGAATGATTGAAGGTGGGGAAATGTGGAGGTCTAAGCACCATACTGAGACGGGGTCTCAAGTGTGGGGGTTTGGAATCCAAATTTGGACGAGGACCTGGACCCCTCGACAGGAGTGGAATGGGTTGGTCTCGTTTGTGCCTGGGGTACAAGCGAGGCGTGTGTTTTGGGGTACCCAGCTGGGATATATTGATTCATGAATCGCCATTTCTGTGAGACGGTACCGACTTGGCTATGGTCTAGCACCGTAGTAAGAACTGAAATATAAAAATGGTAAAATGGCTATAATTGCTCACCACCTGCTTGAAAGTAGCATAGGTGCTTACATAGAATGGTTAGTTAATAAACTAATGATGACTACTAATAAAATTGAATATAAGGACGCACGTTTAGTAATGCTTCCTGCAGATGCAATAATCCACAAGCCAAATAGCCTTACATATCTTTGGAGTCTTTTACTTTCCTCCTGTCGGGTAAATCTTGCTGAGTACTATCGAGTACTCAGGGTTTTATTCCCCCTGTTGCAGGTGATCGGAGGATATTTAAAGCTGACTTTTATGTGTGGAAACCTCCTGGTAGGCCCAGAGAGGATTTCTTTCACGCTACGACCGTAGTATTTATTTATAACCCTCACTAAAGGTTTTTATAAGAAAAGATATAAAATCTGCTAGCATCTCTTGTATAAAAATGTTCACTATATTAATGCTCCACCATGTCATTAAATTAATATTTATTCTTCCTATAACTCTGATAACATTGTTATATTCCGTTGTTATAATCGATTGAGATAATATTCTGTTACCGTAACAAAGTGATATAAGAAATGACTTAAGAATGTTGTAAGCTTTATTCTCTCATTTATGATCCTGATGGAAAAATATAGATTTTTAAGTTTTCTCTTGTGGTGTGCTCGACGAAACTGTATAGTTTAGTGTTCTTTCTTGAGTATTTAGTGTCTAATAAAAAACAAGTACTTCTAAGAGTCATTAGATGAGACGGTTCTGCAACATTGGCGTGGTTGGACGCCCAGGCGGACGGGTCGGTCCTGTACGTCAGCTTCAGCTCCCTGGCCGGGCTGTCGCTGGAGCAGCTAGCAGAGCTGGCCTGGGGCCTTGCGGCCAGCAACCGCCCGTTCCTCTCGGTGGTAACTAAGCTATACATGATTGAATGAGTATAAAATTTTTACTATAGTTCAATCATGCAATAGTTAGTCCACCATAAAATTTTCATCACAATTAGACCATAGAAACTGCAGCTATGAATTATTCCAATTAATTATATAAAAACATAGATCTAAAGCCACAGTCAAAAACTTTGTACTAAAGCATACCATATTATATGTTCACTGTGTAGATCTACTCACGTGGAGTCTAACAAAATTGGATTTTCTATTTTATGATTTTTCTATGATTTACTATGATTTTTCAAAGATTTAGCCGAAATAAAGAAAGAAGAAAATGACAAAACCGTCTTATAAGCTGCTTATAACAGGGCTAGGGATGTAAAATGAATGGTTTTAAAAGTTGAGGGAGTTGTTTTGCCCGGTTTTGGAGTTCACGGATGAAAAGCGGACTTTCGTAAAAGTTGAGGGAGGTAATGTTGACTTTTTTCTTCTATGTGTGTCTAGACGATTTTTTAACAGTGTCTAGACGATTTTTAGATGCGTTCAAAGTCTATTTTTAAAGGCATCTATATTTCATAACAAAAAGAGGCATCTATATTTACCTCTGAAGAAGTCGTTGAACTTAAACCCTCCTTCTCATACTCTAATATCAGATAAGATACACACCTTAACTTTCAAAACTAGATGAAAATACCCCTTGACTATTTCTAAGTGATTTTTGGGTGGTTTTGATGATGTGGTGGTGGGACCCACAAGTTATTTTTTAAATGCCTGTATATTCATTTGAAGCTATCTGATTATGAAATTCAATTCTTTGAATTTTTCAAACCTTCTTCGTAGAGACATGCTCTTTACCGTATTGGAAGCGCTGAAAGAGATCTACAAGTTTCTAGTTGTATTTTTTTTATTTAAAATTGTTTAGAAACTTAATTATTCAATAAAAGATGACATGACTAAGAGCCCAAAACATATAGGGTCCGCTGCCACATCAACCGATGCCACCATCGAAATCATTTTGATCTATTTTCGACTATTCGAGGCTGTTTTTCATATTTAGCCATAAGTTGAGGGGAGCAAAACACCCCTATGCTACCGATTCTAGAAATGTGATCCATGTCAAGCATCCAAAATTCAAAACTTCTCTATAGAAATCCTTGGATGTTCATTTGAAAAGAAAAAAAAAATCCTATAGCCCCGTTCGCTGGTCTGAATCTTAGCTAAAACTGGTTGAAAATACTGTTTCGGCTGAAAAAACAAGCCGAACAAGCCAAATATAAGGTAGACGTAAAATCTAGATTTTTACAATGGATTCAACAAGGAGGAGCTTCGCCGAAACTCGTAAAGAATCGGTGGACAATGAAAAAACGAAATGTGCCTTTTGTTTGGTTTTGGAGCCAACATGATGAGAGACTGTTACAGACCATCAATAACTTCGTCCGTAGCAGCAGATCGATCGAAACTTCTTTTCTTCGGCCCAACAGAAAGACAGTTAATTTCAAACTATGTTGAATCCAATGCTTTATCTTCAGTTTGCCTTGAATCCTTCTTGGTCAGGCTCCCGGAGTACTGCTCGCATTTGTCGCACGAGCTGCAGAGGCAGCGGCCTGATCAGCTGGCAGAGATTCTGCAACATTTCAGTAGCAAATATAGGCATCAGTTAATACTATATTGTACTACTAGATCCTAATTTCTGAGAAAGTCAACATACACACCTGTTGTGTTGGGAGGCAATACTGGCATAGCTTGAGGCGGCGGCAGCTGGAGCCTGAAGTTGTGCGAAAGCGAGGAAGCCGGGAAGAAAGGGGCGGTCTGGATCTGTGCCGGTGGATGCTGCAGCAGTGGTTGCACGGTGACCTGCTGTGCCGGCGGCGGATGCTGCACCAACGGTTGCACGGCGACCTGCTGTGCCGCCGGCGGCGGCGGTGGCAGTATCGCCGGCCTTGGCGTTGGAGGCGGATGCGCCACGTACCCGAGGTACTGGTGGTAGGGTGCCGCCGCCGCGGGCGAGGTCAGACCATACAGCTGAGCGTAGTAGTTCTGCAGCACTTGAGGATTGGCTAGGGCCTGCTTGATCAGTAGTATCGCACATTTGCATAGATCAAATTAGCCTCGAGTTGATCACACATGATGAACTAATAACAACATGACAGAGCACTAATGCTAAATCTGGATTTGCACCATAAAAAGAAGCCGAGCATAGTGGTGGTGGTAACATCAAGGTCATATCATATGGCCGAGGTCATCAAGGTCATAGATGTGGTAACAGTGAAATTTATCGCTGGATGCATGTAGGGTGGAGCTGCCTGGGCCTAGGCATGTGCACGACAAGTGGCACCGGCGGTTTTGCATGTGAGGAAAAGATAAAAGCAAAGGAGATGGGAATTGAAGGAGGACTGGGGAGCATGCTTACCTGTTGGTATTGAAAGTCAGGCGGGTACCAGTACCTGCAAAAGTTTTGTGGAGCTTCTTCAGTGACTGATTTTGGACACGAAAAAGAGCATGCACATGCCCGGCTTGCTGAAATTGGCTGAAAACATTGTTCTGGCTAAAATGTTGTGAAAGAAAAACACTGTTCTAACTGAAAAAAGAAGCCGAACAAATCGGATTTAAAGTAAGCCGAACGGGGATGATAATTCAGTACGGTACATAACATCCCCAAGGCTGTAAAGGCCAGAATCTACATCATTGACCTACATTCCACAGCTCCAGAACCAGGACTACATCATGCAAGAAAAAAAAGGTAACACCAACCCCAATTCCTTAAGTTCAGACAAAACAATGACTAGTACTCCTTCCCAATTTATTCTCAAGTATAGAAAAATTAATGGAAGGATGAGCTACTGCATTTGTTTTTGACGAAACCGGAGGGTTTGACCCCCTACCGGAATTTTATTAAAAAAAAGAGAGAACACTGCAGTTTTGACAAAAATCAAGCCAATTTGGAAAGAAACAAAGAAGGAGGCAGTAGCCCCTTTAGCACGATTGTGATTTGTGAAAGAGCCAAAATAAACATGGCGTTTTAATGCTTGTTATGCAGGAGGCACTAAACCCTGTAGCGCACCAATAAGCAGCAGAGATAAGCGTTGGCGCGAGAGGCACACACTCGGGCAGGCATGGTGAAAGAGACCTCACTAGTACAACAATGGTGTGTGGGGGGTGGGGGGACCGAACTCTTTATCTACGCCCTGTTCTTTTGTTCGTTTATGTACTGACCGATACTGTTTTGTTGTGAGAGAAAAACACTATATCATAATTGATAAGCATGGCTGATAAGAACAGGGTGCTAGTACAACAATGCCTAGATGATGATGCCGTGTCTGCCGCCCCCATTTGCATGGGCTACATCATGTACTATGGACGACGACGACCAGAGTTCGATTAGGACCAACACCCAAACTGAACCTACGGACTTCTAACACAATAATGGCTTTTGAGAGCTCTGAACTGTAATAAAACACTATATGGTCGTGAGTGAGCCTACAAGTTGCATTACAGTGCAGTATGTTCTGTAGCACGGGCATGATTCTAGTACTACTATATACTTCCAACGTTTTGGCCCCGTTCGCTGGTTTGAATTTTGGCTGAAACTGGCTGAAAAATACTGTTTCGGCTGAATTGTTGTGAGAGAAAAATACTGTTCCGGCTGAAAAAACAAGCCGAACAAACCAAATTTAAGACAAGCCGAAGAATCTGAGCAATTTGGGGATAGAATTTGGGAAGCGAAGAAATGTATAGATGGCACAGGGAGGGCACTGACCCAAACTGAGACGGGTAGATAGCAGCTAGGCCACCACCGTGCTGCCGCTGGGGCATCATCTGGGGAGAGGCCGGCGCCCTGGGGATGAATTGCGGGACCTGCAAGTGGGGTCCCTGTCCCGCGTAGGGACCCCTGCCTGTAACAACAACTACCTGCCATGAGTTAGCGAAACGGAAAGCGAAAGCAACGAACGCCGCCAAACAGACAAATAATAAGGCCTTGTTTAGTTTACATCAAAACAAGAACGCCGCCAAACAGACAAGTATTAAATATAGGTAAAAAAAATAACTAATTACACAGTTTAGTTGAAAATCACGAGATGAGCTAGTTGGTCACGATTGCAATACTGGTTGAAAAAACTTTCGTCCTAAATGAGGCAATGAGCTGCACTGCGGTCCGCAGGCTGCGGACAGCAGAGCAGAGAATTCAGGCGGTGAGGGGAGGGCGCGCAAGGCCGGTGGTAAAACCGACAGCGCTGTTGTTTCCATCTGCGCGTGCAGGCCGCAGCCATGTGATGTGCGCGCCGCTGCTTTGACTGGGTGGGTGGGTTCGCGACTTCGCGTCGCCGGCCGGCTCGTCGCCTTCGTCTACTGTTTTCGCGCTCGGTCCTTTTCAGTTCTCGCCAACAAGCCAAGGCTACAGGCTACTAGCAGCAGCACTGAAAAGTAAGTAAAAGCACTCAGTTTTACTGCCAAGGCGTGTACGTCTGTCCGTGCCATGGCTTTAGTACTGGGGTTTGTTGTTGGCAAGCCCTGCAACGCCAAGCAACGCAGACAAGTTGGCAAACCAAACCAAGCATGCGTTGCGTGGTGCTAGTGCTACGGAGGAACAGGGGATTTTAGTTGGTCAGTGCGCAGTGGGATCGCATTGGCAAGCTGACCCCCAACCCGGTCGAGTCAAAAAGGACGCAACGTGGCCGAGTATTATTATTTCTATATGTTTTCTATCCACGGGGGCCAAAGGATAAAGGATCGTTCCCGATTCTCCCCTCCACTACCACTAGACTAGACCCCGGCCGTCCATGGCCATTGGCATGGCCTGCCTTTACGTACTTTACACCCCGTTCACGCTGGCACGGACGGGGATGAACTGGCCGCCACGCACCGACCTCAACAAGGCGGCCAGTCAAAGCGAGACTCCTCCTACCGATTAGACTACCAAAAAGAAATCGGGGGCGAACTGGCCAAGCCTGCCGATACCGATCCAAGGAGGAGCCCATAACTGCCGTTCCAACTGCCAGTTGGTCTGCGCTGCGGCAATAAAAAATGGCGATCCATCGGGAGGAGGAGGATACGGGCGCGCGGCCACGCGCCCACGCGGAGTGGGGCTCCGGCCTCGGGGGGCGGGGAGGCGGAGCACGAACCCAATTGAACTGACACGGCCAGCCTGGAGAGCGTAGCTTGCTTTACCCGCGCGGCCGGTCCCGTCCCCACCCATCAGCCTCACTGCATGCCAGCCCGTGCGTCGGCTACCTCCCGCCGGCCGGCCGGCCGGCCACCGTTCGTGTTAGCGGAAGGGGAAGGGAAAGAGTCCGGTGGCAATGGCGGGGTGCTGGCTGGCTGGCCGGCTGGCTAACAGGAATTCTGCGCGGCCGCGTGGCGGGTTGTCGCGTTGCTGATGATGAGCGCGGGATGGGGTCGAGTCGGAACTCGGAAGGAACAAACGACTAGAAGGAGATTAACGTTTCCCTTCATCAATTCCTTGTGATTGTCACTCACCTCGAGGCTGCTGGGCGGGGCGCGGCGGCTGGCCCAGCGAGGCAATGTTGCAGTTGGCGCGCCGCCCGGCGATCGTCGGGTTCGGGTCCTGCACCGCGCGCCGCGCCGCCTCCGGCTCCCGGAACGTCACCTGCGCACACACGCACACACGGCCGGCGGCCACCTCAGAAATTAAACGTGCACGACCGCGCCAAGCGGAAGGAAGGAAGGGAGGAGAGGTGGCGTGGTGGGATGGGAGCGGGAGCGAGCGGCGGCTTACGAATCCGTAGCCCTTGGAGCGGCCGGTGAGGCGGTCCGTGATGACGACGGCCTCCAGGATGTCGCCGTACCGCTCGAAGTGCTGCCGGAGCCCCTCCGAGGGCGTCTCCCACGCCAGCCCGCCCACGAACACCTTCGTCAGCGTCGTGTCGCCGAACCGCGACCGGTACGGCCGCGGCCCACCGCCGGCGGTAGTGGCCGGCGACCCGGACGTCGTCGTCGACAACGACGACGCCGGGGCTGCCATCACGAGCTAGCGCACGCGGAGCGGAGGGGAAGCCGGCCTTGTTGGCGCGGTGGTGATCTTTCAGGCAGAGAGCGGGACGCGGGCTGCTGTCGTCGTTGCCCCTGCTGCGCCGCGGCACGCCGCCGTGCGCTCGCTCTCTGTGCGTGGCTGGTTTTTGGAAGTCCACTTCGATCTATATAAAACCTCGCTGTAGGTGGCTTAATGATGAGGAGGAGGAATCTGATGATCAGGTGGGGTGGGTTGGGTTGGGTTGGGAGGAGAAAGAGACAGACAGACAGGCCGCAAGGGGTTTTGCGCTGGAGGGGGACGGTTTGGACGAGCTGACAGCTATGCTGACCCCGTTTCTTTTCCACTTTCCTCCACTTCCTTTCTCTTTGTATGTATTTTCTCATGAGTTTCTCAACGTGTGGGAGCTCATGGATTACCTATACAAGACTAATAAAAATGTATCTTTCTCTGGCCCTCTATTGTCCATGCACATATATAACTGTTGTTTAATTCAAAGGAAAACTCTTTATTACCAAAAAAAAAAAAAATCAAAGGAAAGCTTCATGTCTTGCTGGGCGAGCCTGCACGATACCAAGTGATAAAACAAGACAGTGAAAGCACCGCATGCATGGCAGTACTGATGCCGATGCCATCGTGGCAGCCACATAAGCATAGGGGAGTGTTGAGCGATGCCAAGTGGCAGGACGCGTTATGAGTGGGAGCGTATCTGACAAATCCTACGGTTGATGAGTGAGAGCATACCTGGCAGATCCTATACGCCAATGAGTTAGACCACACCTGGCTGATCACACACGTCGATGAGCGTGAGGTACCTGGCAGATTTCACGCACCGATGAGCGGGAGCATACTTGGCAAGCAAGTACTGATGCTGATGCCGTTGTGGCAACCAACATAAGAACACGGAGAGAGAGAGGGGGGGATGTTGAGCGATGCCACGTGACACGACGCGCTATGAGTAGGAGCGTATCTGGCAAATCCTAAGTGTCAATGAGCGAGAGCCATGCCAATGAGCTGGACCATACCTGGCAGATCCCACGCGTCGACGAGCGTGAGCATACCTGGCAGATTTCACGCACCGACGAGTGGGAGCGTAGCATGACGCACAAGCACAAAAGCCAGACCACGAGACTCTCCACACAGCGAGTGCGAGGTATCTGACAGACCAAGTCTTAATGCTGCTTTATGGATGGGTTGACGACACGACATCACCACGTATGAGCCAGGTAAGCCTGTGCTAATATGGAGATGCTCGAGGCCAGCAGACAATGGTGTTAGACTGTCTTCAACAAGGAACCTATATAAGCACCTAAATCCAAAATGGATAGTAAGAGACCCAAAATTAGCCCCCAACAGAGTATCTATACGGGAGACCTATTTTGGGTTGTCTGAGAGGCACAACCCAAATATGGGCATCCTCTCTCCTAAAAACCCATTTGCAGAAATGATTCTCTTTGGGGTCTTGTTGTTGAAGAAGATGCCGAATAGGTATTGAACCTTTTGCCTATAGCGCTACCCAAAGGACGAATAAAGATAGCATTAGGTTATTGTTGTTGGAGATAGCCTTAAGTTCCCCCCTGGCTAGGTGTCGTAACTATTATTGGCAAGAAGATCAATGCATCAGAGAGAAAAGAGGGCTTGACACGGAAAGGGGGTGCTTCTAAAAACGATGGTTAGAAAGAAATTAGTCTCTTTGATGTAACTAAAGATAAATTAGGCACTATCTTTTACTCAGTTTTCATATATGCTTATGTTTTTCTCCAATGCCTCTATTAATCCAATAGTTTTGAGAATGGACTTTTAGCTATATTATGTTGTCAACCATTTTATACTTTTATTCTCAGATTCTATGCGCTATGTGGTTCCAACCATATTTTTTCTTTGCAAGCAAATAATAAGCCGATAGTGTGACTCACTTTAGTATTTTAATTTGTAGTCCTTTTGCTAGCTACAATTTTCAAACAACGTATTTCCATTGAAAACAACTAATAAATGGACACAGGCGACTTACTTTGACAGTTGCCCGCCCTTTTAGCCGTTGGATTTCGCATGCGAGTGTGATGACTCTAAGACTTAGGCCCTGTTTGGTTCTACATGCGCTCATAAAATTCCTGTCACATCGAATGTTTAGACACATGCATAGAGTATTAAATATAGACTAATTACGAAACTAATTACACAACTTGCGACTAATTTGCGAGACGAATCTTTTAAGCTTAATTAGTCTATGATTTGACAACGTGGTGCTACAGTAACATGTGCTAATGACAGATTAATTAGGCTTAAAAAATCATCTCGCAAATTAGCCTCCATCTATGTAATTGGTGGTATAATTAATCTATATTTAATGCTCTTTATTAGTATCTAAACATTCGATATGACATGAATTTTAGGAGCGACTAAAGAAACAAACACCCACTTAAAAATACTATCACAAGAAAAACAAAGGTACCCATGTGAATACAAAAGATTTGTTGGCACCTCCTGTATTCCCCTTGTTATCAACCCAACCACCAAACTTTATTTTCTGTTATGAGCTTTCCCTCCTCTATACTTCTCCAAAGAAGACTGAACAATTATATCTCCTGTGTCATGCTACATACTCAAACTATAATTCATCACCACTACCGACTGTTGATAGAAATAATCTGGTCAAAGCTGCATCTTCAAATCATAATAAGGTGAGAAGGACATTAAGGAAGTTTCTACATCTCAATCAGCCGTGGTGGTGTCCCTCAGCCTTATCTCACACACAAAAGACAAGACTGTAGCGGATGCGTAAAAAATAATCGATGGAGCAACAAGAGGAGGTGATTCTAGCAAAACTCAAATAGAAAAATGGCTGGTAACATGTTTATCGCCATTAGAGAAAAATGGTCGATGAACTGTTATTGATGATTGACCTTAGATTGTTATAGTCTAGAATAATGTTTTTTTAAGTATACAAGCTTTACTAAAAAAACTAGGGGTTATATGCCGATGACCAAAATTGACAGACGGAGACTAATCCTGTGTTTTCTTAGAAAGTCGGGCAGGCCGGGTTTGGCAACTTTGTCAAAATGTAGAATTGAATTCACCATTACGTTTTTTTCACATCGGGATGATTGAAAAACATATATAGAACAGCTAATTTGGAGTCCAAATCAGAAAATTACGGCTTCGGGAAGATTCACCCTTCAGAAGCCGACTAGGCTGGGGTCCAGATAGTCCGAAGCAAATTCTAGGAAACATGCATGATCTCACGAAGATATCCCCATAGACAATTGAGGGATCCATTAGATAAAATTTATCGTTTATGCCTTTTTCTCTTACTCTTTTATTCTTTTTTGCTCTAAAATTTTCAACCCTATACTTACTGTTTGACATGCTTCTTGACAGAGCTTGTGACCGATCTTCGTGCTATTTGGACACGCTAAGCCTTTAGACGTGTGGTCGTTCTTTGGGTTAACAAAAGCTCCTCGTCAATTTTGTTGGAGCATGCATGGACATGATCGTCAATCTTAGCTGGCAACTACTTGAAAGAATGAAATCTTGTGCTAACTTAGTTCAGAAGCATAGATTTTTGGATGTTGTGTAACCGCCGCGCATATGCTTAGTTTTAGTGCAACTTTGTCAACTCATGAAAAAGAAAATAGTGGTTCACAAGCCTTAAACGGCACAGAATTGACTCGTTGACCTAGTAACGACATGCCCAACTCGTTAAGACGTTAACTTGTACTACACATCTATCTGTATCTAAAGGAGAAACATGTACGTTGTTATATGATATAGCCCTCGTTTAGTTTCACCCTAACTTCCAAAAAGTTGCTATAGTACCTGTCACATCGAATGTTTGTGGCCCGTGCATGAAGCATTAAATGTAGACGAAAAGAAAAACTAATTGCACAGTTTGGTGGGAAATTGCGAGACGAACGTTTTGAGCCTAATTAATCCATGTTTGAACACTATTTACCAAATAAAAACGAACGTGCTACAGTAACCCCAAAATCCAAATTCCTACAACTAAACACGGCGATATATGAAATATGTGACATGTCCAGTAAATTTCTAAGAAGCTTGCTATTGAAATGTCTACATCGTCCCACCTGTCAATGACACATTATACGGACAGATGGTGTCACCTGTCAATGAAACATTGCAACACGCATAGTAAATTCCTAAGAAACATGCCTGCTATTGAAATATCTACATCCCACCGGCTGTCAATGACACAATATGCGGGCTGTCTTTTTGATAAGGAATATACTGTCAAATCGTCTCATGTACAAAAAGGAATCCATCTTATTTGACCAACTTTATGTGTTGCTCTGATCATTTGTGCATTTTTTCCTCCCCCCCCCCCACACACACCCCCACACACAAACACAGAATCTTGACAGATTATGAGCAGTTGATGATGCTATCCAGTGTCACGACTCACGAGAAGCTTGGCGACGAATGGTTTAAGATTGCCATGCATACCCATATCTCTTCTAGGTTGAAATTATCCATCTAAAAAATTAGGGACACAAATGTGCACATCACCAGGACGCAAAATGTAAGTTCAAGATCAATGCAAAGGAGATGTTACAGCGAGCCCTATTGAAATGCGCTTGGTCGTAACTTTATGAGAAGTTGCCACTGAAATGTCAACGGCCTTCTTTCTTTTTTTCCATATTTAACGAACGGCGTAACACAATGCAGGTTTTATTGAATATAGCAGGGGGGAAAAATCAAGTAGATAGCCTGACTAGGAGGACTTATAAGCTGAAAACAAAACTTACAAGAGTTGAGTGTGCATGTGTGTATATATGCGTGTTTATATCTGTATGTGTAATTCGTAAAAGGAAAAAAAATATGGCTTGGAGGGCTTACAAGCTGAAAATACAAGTGAAAAAACTACAACCACAAGCACGCACGGATGCTAAAACCAAAGGATTGCAACCAAACGCAAACAACAATGGATTACTGGCGACATCTAACAATCGAGGTGTTTCGCGAAGAGGAAATGCTCC